AGAGAGAGAGAGAGAGAGAGAGAGAGAGAGAGATGTTTCTTTGATATGCCTATGGCAGACTGCTGCAACAGCTTCCCTGAACAAGGTAGGTGAATTAAGCATTGAGCTAATCAGATCGGAAGGGTGGAAACAAGATAAGATAGACTGATCTCACACCAAAGGAAGAGGAAGAAAAGGGCAGGAAAGGAAGGCCAAAGACCTTTGAGATGGTAAGAGAGAAGAAGGGTAGAAGGGGGACCATACATAATCTGGTTTGGCCTGTCCTCTCATCATATGCATGTTCTTCCATAGCTGGTAATCTTTAGATACAACATCAACTTGCAGTTGATATATATCAGTGCCCAGACATGATCAACCCTCCATGCAAAACCAGCAACAGTTCTGGTGCCATTAGTTTAACCTGCTGGATCTGCCAACATGGTGTTCATAAGCAGAAAGAAGTGTGAATTAGAGAGAGTAATTACGATGGCAGGAAAAGATACTGAACAGAACCAATTGTATTCTCCACTTGCTTTTTGCTGTGGTTTTAGGGTTCTTTTGACCCTCTGCACCAGACAAGAAGGTGCAGGCACTTAGCCATTCCTCATAAGAAAAGAAGCAGTGAGAACAACATGCAAATCTGTAAAGTTCTGATGTAATACAGGCATGTGGGTCACGATTCGGACCTTCACAGTTCTTTTTAGTGTATAGAATCAGAAGGGAAAGCCTAAACTATTTAACTAGTAGAGGATTAGGTCACTGTTAGCTGTTTACTTGCATTATTCTATGTCATTATTGTTGCCACTTGTCACAAAACATGGATGCCTTGTGAAATTAATGTCCTCTTGAAGGAGAAGGGAAATGTAAAGAGACAAGCACATATGAACAAGCACTTACATCTAATCTGAATGTCTATCTCACTATGTTGTGAGTTAATGATGGGGATTTCACTCTCTCTCTCTCTCTAATTTAGGTTGAGAGAAAGAAGCAGTCATCAAACATCATAATCCTAAAGCAGCCACTCCCAACTCAAGAAGACCACTTGGTTGAAGAAAAGCTATCTTAATCAACAACCAGATTTATTCTCGAGTATCATGGTCATGCATTTGTATAACATGTAGTGGCTGTATGGATTTGTCTCATCAGATGCTGCTTAGATATATGCATACCATTTCACTGTCAGATGGAGATGATAAAGACTTGTTGTGTTAATGGTGTATAGAACCTACAGGACTCTCGAGTTGCCAGTGACAAAGAAGGATGTAATTGAGATGATATCAGGCCTTATACATACAGCTTACCATAAACAACATGGATATTGTCATCAATAATTACTTTCTAATCAACATGAGCATATGATCTAAAACACACACTCCTCAACAAAAAGCAAAGATGAACAACATGGATATTGTCTGTGCATGCAGCCAGCTAATTGCTTGGATCCATTTCGATGGTGCATGTCACTGCCCCAGGTTATCTCCAGTTCATAGGTGCAGCAAGTCGGAGGAAACAAGACCTTGCAGCCATAAATGACAATATCCCAGCAAAGAGTTCAAAGATTAGTAGGCATGCAGATGAAAAGAGTGTATGAAAGATATCAAACCATTACTCATGGTAGTAACATAAGAGGAAGAAAAGGTGAAGATTGCATTTAGATGGGGAAATTTACTTTCATTTTCTTTAAATGAAGACAACTTCTCATAAAAAACCTATGTGAAGAATTGAAGAAGAAGAAGAAGAAGAAGAAGAAGCTTGTTTAAAGTATATGGTCACAGATGATGAAGTCAGCCTTCCAAAGGAGACTGACGTTAGTTTATGGGTCTTATCAAAGAGTGGAATTAGCTCATTATTGTAAGGCAATAACTTAGCATTTCCTTGTCTTGGGAATTCTGCAAGTGGACATGACCTTAAATGTATGCCCCTCTGCAGCACAAACCCCATAAACCCGCCACAAACCTCTCATTTCTTACTCACCACCACCACCTCCTCCTCCGGTTGCTGCTGCCCTATTTCTTCCTCCCTTTGCATAGTCTAAAAGAACTATTTCTTATCTCTACATTCATCATTATCGACTATTTCTTCTCTCTTCTACTGAACTATCACCACCTCTCAGTGTCTCCTCCCTACCTCTTCTTCCCTTGCAATGGTCATAGACCAAAATGCAATCTTGACACTGCTGCTATATGTTCTCATCTCCCTCTTGGATAGACACAGACAAATGAAGCAACAGAGATGATGATAGCCTGAAAGAGAACAAAGAAGATTATGGGGAATTATCTCTAACTACAAACCGAATATACAAATAAATGGAACATGAAAACTAGGAAGCAACTTAATCATGCCAAGTTTCTAATCATTGCCTGCATGTCAAGAAGATCAAGGAGAATAATCTCTCTAACTACAGCCATTCAGAAAAAGAGAGATGCATAGGAGTGTCAAGGTTATATATGTTCATGAATCCATGATTGATTAGGAACTTTTGTCTACCAAGTGCCAATTTTAATTGAGATGAGTAGGTAACCTGCAACTTGTAGCATATGGCAACATGCAAATCTCATCAAATGATTCATTAGTTTTGGTGTCTCTTCTCTTCTACTTAATGCTTTGGCCATCACATTCTCCATGGTCTATAGACATGTCAAAGCCTAATCTTAATTTGTCCTTTGGCATGCCTTTATGCAAAGATCAAATAACAATAATTTATCTATTTATTTATTTACGAATTCGAACTCAAAATCTTACGATAAACTATCAAGGTTTTTAATCAAATAAGATAGCTAACACCATCAAATAATATTTAATCAAAAAGACTTTGAATTTAAATGGAAGAAACACCTTTTGTCTAATATTTTATTATACTACTAAATACTTTTTTAGTTATAATATTTCCGGAACTTAAATTTATAGGTGATGGCAGACAACCCAAAATGCCAATTCCACTTCAACCAGCGCTAGCTATCAAAGATACCCACAAAAATACCGTATTACGTAGGACGAGCTATATACAATCAATCAATCAATCAATCAAGGCCGTATTCCACCACTTGTGACCGTTCCTCCACTCTCGGAGAAACTCTATGATGTGATGTGATGCGATGCGGTTTAACGGAATTCCTTCCGTCCTTAGCCGAACACCAAACACGGAGAGGACTTCGTGGATATACACGTGGCTACCTCTACAGGTGGGGCCCAAAGCCTCTGGGCTTGCGCCACGTCGCAGAGACGATTTGATTTCAATTAAAATACCATCTTAGTTATTTTATGATTTTATGATTAGGAATCTGATTAACATTGTTTACGAAGTTAAACGCTCTTTTAACATCGCGAGGCAAAAATGGACGGTGGGCGACCGAAAGAGTCTCGAGGTTCCATGTGGGACCCGCCGTTAATTCTCCAATGGATGAGCAGGTACCGAAGTGGGTGACGTGTGAATTGTATGCTTAAAGATTAGAGTCCAAACTAATGTGCATTATTACATTTATGCTTAGAGACTAGAGATTGTTGCCATCACGAGGCAGATATGGACGGTGGATGGCTGGTCGGCGAACGAGCCTTTGGAGATAAGACTCATCCGTTTACGTAATCTGATTCCTCGGATTTCCACCTCTGTCGTGGTTGGTGAACAGGTCGAGTTTTTATGTGGGGCCCGCTTTTATTGCAACTGGAATGAAGGTAAGAATGGGGTATTCCGGTGGGGTATGTATGACAGTTATTTCTAATACCATTTAGTCGGTTGGGATATCGCAAGTGGCGCTCGTTCGCACTCCACCACAAATCAGCACTTCTTTTTATATACATATGTAGATAGATAGATAGATAGAGATAGAGAGAGAGGGGGGAGACAGCGGTAATTGTATCCACTTTTGTAGACTGTAGTAGGGAAGACGAGAAGAAGAAAGAAGAGACGCGAAACCGATCGAAGAGGAAGAAGGACCGAAGGATTTCTTCCCCTCTGCTGTCCACTCTCCTACTCGCCCTTTGGTTCCGCATCTCCGGACCTCTGGTTATGGTGCACGATAACGCCGCCGGCATGAAAGAGGCGGCCGTCGTCTCCTACTCAGACCGCGCCCCTGTGATGGCCCTCCCTGGATGCGCCGCCGCCCCTTCGTCTGAGGACGTCGGAAAGAAGACCCGCAAGCCTTACACGATCACCAAGTCGAGGGAGAGCTGGACCGAGCAGGACCACGACAAGTTCCTCGAGGCCCTGCAGCTGTAAGACGACCCCATATCCCTCCCTCCCCCTTTTTCCTCTCGTCTCGGTGTTCAGTTGCCGCTGATCATTTCCTTGGACTTTTATCGTCTTTGATGTCGGGACGTCTCTTGTCGCTCTGATTCTTGCGTTCTATCGGTTTATTAAACATTTAGGTGATATCGCAACACATTTAGTGGAGGGTTCTGAGGAACATGGGGCTTGACAAAGGGGCTTCTACTTGTAGTTGTAGTTAATCTCGCCAATCAGGCTATGGTTACATCGGGAAGTTGTTCCGCCTGATTGCTTTTCCTAATGCGTCATTGAGTGCGGAACTTGCTATCTTGACCCATGAGTTTTCTTGTTGCCATGGAAATTGCTAACTACATCTCTTGATTCACTCGGTTAGCTTCTGCAGACTTGTTCTTCTCTTGTTTTTGTTTGTCTTAGATGGCTCTAGATTTCCTCGGGGTGAGAATGTGGTTGATTATGAACATACGGTTAGAT